AATGAGTTTCCCCCAGTCCTCAGCAGTCCAATCCCTGTACCTTTTGCAGAATCAGTCTGACCCTGATGTTTTTCCTGGAGAGAAGTGGCTTCTTTGCTGCCCTTCATGACACCAGGTCATCCTCCAAAAGTGTTCGCCTCACTGTGAGTGCAGGTGTACTCACACCTACCTGCTGCTATTCCTGAGCAAGCTCTGCACTGGTGGTGCCCCGATCCCGCAGCGAAATAAACTAAAGAAGACGGTCTTGACGCTTGCTGGACTTCCTTGGGTTCTCTGAAGCCGTCTTCACAACAATTGAACCTCTCTCCTTGAAGTTCTTGATGATCCGATAAATGGTTGATTTAGGTGCAATCTTAGTAGCTGCAATATCCTTGCCTGTGAATACCTTTTTGTGAAAAGCAATGATGACTGCACATGTTTCCTTTAGGGATGCAGCTAACGATTATTTTCAAAATCGATTAGTTAGCCGATTATTGAGTTCGATTAATCAGTTAAAAAAATGGCTCCAGTGATGGACTACTAGTTTGTATTGAGATTGTAGTCCATCACGGGAGGGAGCTTGGAGCGGTGGAAGTAAAAAAAAGTGTGGTGTGCAATATAGTACATTATACAGTGGCACAATGCAGAATACCAGCAGCTATAGAGGAATACAATAAATCCCAGCAATAGTACATTATACTATAATGTACCATTGCTGGAATTTGTAGTCCTCTGTAGCTGCTGGTATTCTGCATTGCGCTGTGTATAATTGCTGGGATCTGATGTATTCCTCTATAGCTGCTGGTATTCTGCATTGCACTGTATATAATGTATTATTGCTGAGATCCGATGTATTTCTTTATAGCTGCTGGTATTCTTCATTGCGCCGTATAATTTATTATTGCTGGGATTTGTAGTCCTCTGTAGCTGCTGTTATTCTGCATTGTGCTGTATAATGTATTATTGCTGGGATCTGATATATTCCTCTAGGGATGTCCCGATACCACTTTTTCAGGACCAAGTACAAGAACTTCCCCTCATGTACTTGCCGATACCCATTACCGATACTTTTCTTAAAGGGACAGGTGACTTTAAATGATCCATAGTACAACTGCATGTTATGTACTATGGATCATGATTTAATCTATTCATGTAAGCAGGGGAGAATTGTAAATCTATTGCTGGAGTGTAGTGGAGGTGTGTGCTGTATATATGTACTACATATACATTACACACGTCCAGTACACTATAGCAATAGATTTACAGCCAGCCCCGTCCCAGCTTCCCTCACTTACAGTTTCACTCAGATCCCTGTTGCCTCTTGTAGTCGGCGCTGGGCAGGATCGCTGCATCGCGTCTCAGTGCTCAGCTTGTCGGAGGTGCTCACAATTCTGCCCTGCTAACATGAATAGGTTAAATCATGATCCATAGTACATAAACAGCACATACGTCCAGTACACTGCAGTAATGGAGTTACAATTATCACCTGCTAACATGAATAGGTTAAATGATCCATAGTACATAATAGTATATAACATGTAGTTGTACTACGGATCATTTAACACATTCATGTTAGCAGATCAGAATTTTAAATCTACTGCTGTAGTGCATTCTATATGTAGCACATATACAGTACATATAGAATGCACTGCAGCAGTAGATTTACAATTCTGACCTGCTAACATGAATGGGTTAAATGATCCATAATACAACTACATGTTATGTACTATGGATCATTGAATCCATTCATATTAGCAGTGCAGAATTGTTAATCTACTGCTGCAGTGCATTCTATATGCAGCACATATACATTTAGGTGGCCGGCGACTGCCTGGAGCGCCGCCCACCGGAGCAGCAGTGACGCGACGCTCGGCGCGACATGGTAAGTAAAAAAAACTGCAAGCTTTGGCGTTTTGTATCGGGGGATTTTGACAAGTACAGGTACTTGTCAAAATGCTCTATATCGGTCCCGATACCGAGGCTTGTATCGGTATCGGGACATCCCTATATTTCTCTATAGCTGATGTTATTCTGCGTTGCGCTGTATAATGTACTATTGCTGGGATCTGATGTATTCCTCTATAGCTAGCGTTGTTCTACATTGCGCCGTATAATTTATTATTGCTGGAATTTGTAGTCCTCTGTAGCTGGTGTTATTCTGCATTGCGCTGTATAATATAATATTGCTGGAATTTGTAGTCCTCTATAGCTGGTGGTATTCTGCAGTGCGCTGTATAATGATTATACGGCGCAATGCAGAATACCAGCAGCTATAGAGGAATACAACAAATCACAGCAATAGTACATTATACATACCGTGTATAATGTATTGCTGGGATTTGTAGTCCTCTATAGCTGATGGTACATTGCTCTGTATAATATACAGCACAATGTACCATCAGCTATAGAGGACTACAAATCCCACTATCCCAGCAATACATCACAGAGTACCATGTGGGGGGGAGTGCAGGCTTACCTGAGCAAATTGTAGGTCAGCTGCTTTCCCCCCATGCCTGCTCTTCCTTCTTAACGGATCGTGGATGGGCGGGCATCGACGAGTCCGTGAGGCGGTGAGAAGCGGCGAGTCCGTAGGGCGGGGAGGAGAAGCGGCGTGCTGCGAGTCCGTGAGGCGGGGAGGAGTCGTGTGGCGAGAAGACGTGTAGTGCGGCGCAGCGGGAGAAGTAGCGTGCGGCATGCCACAAGCAGGCAAACTAATCGAAATTTAACTAATCAATGACGGAAAACGTTGACGTTTTCCATCATCGATTATAATCGACTTAGTCGATTAATTGTTGCAAGTCTAGTTTCCTTGCAGGTAACCAAGGTTAACAGAGGAAGAACAATGATTTCAAGCACCACACTCCTTTTAAAGCTTCCAGTCTGTTATTCTAAATCAGCATGACAGAGTGGTCCCCAGTCTTGTCCTTGTCAACACTGACACCCGTGTTAATGAGAGAATCACTGACATGATGTCGCCTGGTCGTTTTGTGGCAGGGCTGAAATGCAGTGGAAATGTTTTTTGGGGAGATTAAGTTCATTTACTCTTCATCACATTCTGGAGTATATGCAAATTGTCATCATACAAACTGAAGCAGCAGACTTTGTGAAAATTTATATTTGTGTCATTCTCAAAACTTTTGGCCACGACTGTACACAGAGAGAGACAGAGAGGTATATACAGAGAGGAGAGTGAGGAATACAGAGAGAAAGAGGTGTACAGAGAGAGAGAATTAGAGGAAGAGTGAGGTATACAGAGAGAGGGAGATGCAGAGAAAGGAAGTGAGGTATACAGAGAGAGGGAGATGCAGAGAAAGGAAGTGAGGTATACAGAGATACAAAGAGATGTATACAGAGAGAGAGAGGTATACAGAGAGAGACAGATGTATAAAGGGAGAGAGGTATACAGAGAGAGAGGAATACAGAAAGAGAGGTAAACAGAGGGAGAGAGGTACACAGAGAGGCACGGGGGGGAGGACGGCTACCAGGGTCGCATGTGCGATCGGGCCCTGGCGTTCTGCAACATGAGGGCCCGCCCCCCCTTTTTGACACCTGGCCCGATAACCGCTGAGGCAGAGGGACATGTTAGATGGATGGGGGAGGGCTATCTTGCGGCCCACTCTCTGCTCATTAGGATGCGCTCTCCCCCGGCTCGCTCTCTCTCTTCCTGTGGGGAGAACACAGCCTGTTACCACTGCTGCCTGCTGCTACGCCAAAATGTTGACTGCCGCTGATGTCAGCGGAGGATGTGACACTGTGTGAGGGTGAGTTGTTACGGGGAAAAAAAGTTGTGAGGTGGTGGTGCGAAAGAAGGTGCTTCCTTGTGTGTGACAAATTCATCTATAGCAGCCCAACAATGCTCAGCTGATATAAGCTATACCAGCTGAGCAATGTTGGGGTGCTATAGATGAATTTGTCACACACAAGAAGGCACCTTACACTACCATTGGCAGAACTACCAGGGTGGCAGCAGTCACATGTGCGACCAGGCTCTGGCATTCTGCCACTTGGGGGGCTCAGAGAGAAAGAAGCGGTCCTGGTAACCAGATATACAGAAAGAGAAGGGGCATAGAGAGAGAGAGGGGTATAGAGGGAGTATACAGAGAGAGAATACAGAAATACAGAGAGAGAGGGGGCTACACAGAAAGAGAGAGGGGGTAGAGAGAAATTGCAGAGAGCGAGAGAGAGGTATACAGAGAGAGGGGGTGTATACAGAGAGAGAGGGGGGGAGAGAGTGAATACAGAGAGAGAGGGGGGGAGAGAGTGAATACAGAGAGAGAGGGGGGGAGAGAGTGAATACAGAGAGAGAGGGGGGGAGAGAGTGAATACAGAGAGAGAGGGGGGGAGAGAGTGAATACAGAGAGAGAGGGGGGGAGAGAGTGAATACAGAGAGAGAGGGGGGGAGAGAGTGAATACAGAGAGAGAGGGGGGGAGAGAGTGAATACAGAGAGAGAGGGGGGGAGAGAGTGAATACAGAGAGAGAGGGGGGGAGAGAGTGAATACAGAGAGAGAGGGGGGGAGAGAGTGAATACAGAGAGAGAGGGGGGGAGAGAGTGAATACAGAGAGAGAGGGGGGGAGAGAGTGAATACAGAGAGAGAGGGGGGGAGAGAGTGAATACAGAGAGAGAGGGGGGGAGAGAGTGAATACAGAGAGAGAGGGGGGGAGAGAGTGAATACAGAGAGAGAGGGGGGGAGAGAGTGAATACAGAGAGAGAGGGGGGGAGAGAGTGAATACAGAGAGAGAGGGGGGGGGGGTATAGAGTGAATGTAAAGAGAGACGACGGGGGTACACACAGAGAGGGAGGGGGTATACAGGGAGAGAGATAGAGTCGTTGAAGTATACAGGGAGGGTATAAAGTAAAAGAAGACCCCAGTGGGAGTGAGACATACAGACAGATAATAACGTGTGATCAGCTTGCACTCTCTTGCTCACTGTAGCAGATCCTATTCGGTTGAATTTCCTGCCCACTAGTTCCTGCTTCCTGGTCACATGTTTCCGGTGACATCACAGGGTAATCTTCAGGATAGGAACGACAGGAGTCATGGCTGCCAAGAGAGGTGGGAGACGAGGGGTCAGCGGTTGTCCTGAGCGTGTCTGGACGGAGCCGTGTGTCTGCTTGTTTACAGCAGAGAACCGCGTCTGTGTGTCCTCGGTGACCCGAGTTAGGGCTTCACTATTGTATCTTCTGTTCCCTGAACTTCTTACAGTAGGCTAGACACAGGCTGACTGCAGGGAAAATACTGTTTAGGTCACGTATCATAGATAGAAGATGATGATGGGGGGCGGTTATAGTGAGAAGGGAATGCCTTAGTTACACTTATGAGTCCTAATAGTTTGATGATGTCTAATGGATTAATGTTTCCTATTAGGGATTTGTAGTTCCACAACAGCTGGAGGGACCCTTGACTTAATCATTTAGATGATTCCTAATAGAGGACTACTAATACATCGATGATAGTTTGACCAAGGTATAGGTGCACCTGCCAGTGACACCCTCCCAGGTCCAATTTACAGTAGTTGCGGCCGGGGCATTCCCCACCCCTTTGTTATGTGTATCAGCGGGATTGAGAATGCTCCGGCCACAGCTGATTGAGTGGGGGTGTCACTGACAGTTTTACACAAGCTTTGGTGAACTCTGTTCACACCAAGCACATGAACATCACTAATAGAGGAGCCCCAGGGGATAGATGACCCATCAGGATGATTCATATGTAACCAAGATATACCTTATTTAGGATTATTATACAGGATTTTGTTTGATCAATATCGTGACTTAAATCGGAAGTCTGTGATACTAGAAACTTTGATTCCTTAAAACCTTTTACCAAGCTCTATGGACAATTTGATTAGATGTGAAAGAAGAACTGTGGGAGTAGTGAAAAGTCCCTGCCATGGCATCCAGCCAATTATCTGGGGTGTAAATCAGTCACATTCATACCTGAGCTCTACGTGAACAATCTCATTATTTGCATGGTGGTGCCCGTCCACACCTGAGCGTAGTGTCGTCTTTCACTTCTGGCTTGAATTTCAAAACACTACATGAGCTTATTTTTGGGCAGTATCGCATTTGTGGCCTCACAGATTTTGGGGCCACAAAATCTGTACCTGCCTTTGTTTTTTCTTGTGCAGAAAAACTCAGGTCACTGCATATGGTTTGAGTCGGCCCTTAGAGTTTATCCTTGCAGGTTCCTCATACAGTATTGAAAAATGAACGGGAGAATCCGGTTGTAAGTGTTAGCAAAAACAGTTCTTTTTTTTCCAGATATTTTTGGTCCTATGTGTGTTTGTTTTTTTTTTTTTTAAAGATTTGCTTCCTCCACTTCTGCATGCTGTGTCCCTAAAATGTATACTTGCTAATGATGGTATGTCTGTATGTACTATTCACCTAAACTGTGCAGTGCTAGTGCACACAGCAATTGCCGTGCGGCCCCATTGATTTCAATGGGGTGACATCTGCGTGGCAAACGCTAAAAAAAGGTACCTTTTTTGCGACACATGACACTCGGCTTTTTTTTTTTTTTTAGCTGCGATCGTGTTCACTTACACGGGCAGAATCGCGGCGGTCCGCCTGGCATGACTGGGGTGCCATTAGAAAATAATGGCACCCACAGCGCGATCGGTTCACACCTTGGCGACTCCTGACTGCGCAGCAATTGTCTAGGTGTGGCGTTGCCTAGCCTCAGGGCCCATTCACACCACATCCGGATCATGCCCAGACCAGATTGTTTCCGGACCCAAAATGCATCCTAATGTATCCCTATGCTATTTCTGGCTTCTGTTCACATCAGCGCAGTCCATTCCAGACCAGAATAGACAAATACTGCATGTCTTATTCTGTCTGGTCTGGGATGCACTGGAACGCATGGAAACGCATAAACGCATACAAACACACTGGAATGCACCTGAAAGTCTATTTTAAGCTAACAAAAAACAGCTCAGGAACAAGGCAAAATCTCGGTAAAATCACAATGCACTGCGTTCCAGATCTGGTCTGGAAAATGGTGTGAAAAGGAAAAGTGCCGTCTTCCATAGCTGCTCCTCCTTTTCCTACCCAATTGGTTTGGTCATAGTTTATACTTTCTTGTAACCCAGCTGTTGTAAGATATTCACTTTGTGATTTACCTGGCTACTCTCCCAAACATTTCAAAATTCAGCACATTGCTTAGGGCTTATTTATAATGCAACACTGCTCCTAGATGGAGCTGAGGAAATTCCTATGCTCCTCAGCTCCATCTAGTGTCAGTAATGCGCTGGGAAGGTCACTCACACAGGCATTCACTGTGTGTGCACTATAATTCAGCCCCTTGGTGTGCACTGAGGTCTCCATTCTCTTTGGGACAGCTTGTCAAGTTTGGTGACACATTTTCCATTGAGACAAACAGATTCTGTACTGTGCACGAGAGAATATTTTGCAGCAGAATTTCTTTTAGAAATATGGAGGCAATAGTAACTTCCAGATTGTTTACCTCTCTCACACACTGCTGTCCAAACCTTATAGTGCTTTCCTTTCAACTGCAATTTCCGTGACTAACCTGGCTCCCTGTATTTGTCCAGCCCTAACTTTAGCTGAATATTATAAGTCATTATATTGTATAAGTAATATAAATATTTGTTATTGTCTGATTACGCTTTAATGTTTGCTGTCTTTTTAAAGAACCGAGCAGCGATGATGAATCTTATGAAGTATTGGATCTCACAGAATATGCTAGACGACACCATTGGTGGAGTAGAGTGTTTGGACGAAACTCTGGTCCCCTTACAGAAAAGTACTCTGTAGCTACCCAGATTGTAATGGGTGGAGTAACAGGCTGGTAAGGCGACACTGATTTTATTTGTGAAGCTAAATTGCATATTCACCTTTTATAAATACTGAACAATCACATGGTCCTTATGTATGTTTTGTATAATTTGACCTGAATTTGTACTGTCTAATTAGTTATCGGTTAGTATAAAGCCTTGGTTCTCAACCGGTGGGTCGCGAACCCTTGTTCAGTGGGTCGCTTCATACCTTCCACTTTTCTAGCCGAGAGGCTCCTCAGCCTCCCCCTAGTGCAGCACTGTTAGTTCTCACGCCAAGCAGCCATTCAAAATATGCTGGCCGGTGCCGAGTGACAGCTTGAGGTGGGCTGGGGCTATGACCGCGAGAGAGCTACATCCATTTCTGCATTGCTTACAACTCCCTTGTGCCCCCTGTAGAGGTGCCTGGACCGGAGTGATGTCACATTCTCCCGCCACCTCTACAAGGCACATAAGGGAGCTGTACAAGCAATGCACATGTGGATGGAGCTCCTTTACAGCACAGCAGCCCACGCTGGACCCCAGGCTGAGGTTCTACTCCAGTTCTCGTACGATAGGGAGATTAGGTGGATCTTAAATAAAAAATGAAATTTTTTTTTGGGAGTGTATGTGTGTGTGAGAATGTGTTTGTCAGTGTTTTTGAGGGCCCTACACACTAGTACAGTGCGTTAATCGCATTGTCCTGTGCGATTAACGCACTGTGCCACGCAATCGCACCTACAACGCATTCTGTTGCGGAAAGTGTGCTGCCATTCATTTGAATGGCACCCCAAACGCACCTCCCACCCACAGTTTGGTTGCCTGCTTCGGAACGATCTGTACCGCAATGCTGTGCGTTCCATTGCATTGCAACTTGGGTCACGACTTAATGACCAAGGGCACATGTGGGTCCTGAGGTTACACAGGTCGAGAACCACTGGTATAAAGTATATACTTCTAACAGGCAAGAATAACTCCTTTTCCCATAACGTCTTCCAGGACAGCATCACGAGATGGAATCTCCTCCCCCACACACAGGAAACACGTCACTTAATCTGTTTAAAAGACCCTCCTCTCCTCCACTCCCTCAGTCTTTTGTGTTTCCTCAGTCAAGCTGGGGAGCGCGTCACAGAACGCTGAGAGATAATTCTAAAACAGTACAAAAAATGCCAACGCTGTCTCTATTAGGACCAGTGTTGGCAGGGGTTTTGTTTTCCTCAGAACTACTTCTCTCCCAAAACAAGTGTATAGGAATGCAAAAGCAGCTTGAAGCAGGTAATTGGGGGGACAACTGCAGGTCACTAGTGGGGGGCAACTGCAGGTCACTAGTGGGGGGCAACTGCAGGTCAAATGCAGCTGCAATAAATCCTGAATGACCTCAGTGTCTCAAATTGATGTAAAAATCGAGCTCATAAACACATTCCAGTGTCTGTCAACACTGGATCTTCACATCTACCATGATGTAGAAAAGACGAAAAGCATCATGCTGGAAGTCTTAGGCCTCAGTCACACAAGCACTATTTTGTTCCGACCAGACCGCAGGCATAATGTGCCTTGCGCTCCCGTGCGGCCGATCGCATTGCGGCCGGAGGACGTGGCTACAATGCCATTCACTTCAATGGACCGCCACGCCGCCTCCTGCCCCACAACATAGTGTGCCGGCCGCAATACGATGCAGTGCGTTCTGGTCAGAATCGGGCCGGAATGTACTGTATCTGGTGTGAACAAGGCTTTATGGTTTTTTTTGTGAAAATCTCAGCTACACAGATGAAGCAAATTGTTTATCCAAATGTATAAAGAAATATTCATTTTAACCAAATTCTTTTTCTTCTGCAGGTGTGCAGGCTTTTTGTTCCAGAAAGTTGGAAAGCTTGCCGCAACGGCAGTTGGGGGCGGCTTTCTTCTACTTCAGGTAGTGAACTGTTACATACTTACAGCTACCCATTGGTTCTTTGGATAATTAAATGCTGTTGGCCCAAAAAAAACTCTTACCTGTCCCAATAGACAATTCAGTGTTGGTAAAATCTCTACCAGCCCCAAAATGGAGAAACTGAGAAGTCAGCCGGTTTATATGAGCCAATACAAAATGATTTAGGGCCCAGTCACATCACATCCAGTGCGTTTCGGCACAATTAGTGGACGGAACGCACTAGATCGCAGAATTCAAGCCGGGCCGTGTTCTGGTGCGGGAGGGGGCGTGGTAATGCCATTCATGTCAATGGCACCTCAGCACACCCCCTGCCTGCAGTGCGATCACCTGAACGTGAGGTACAGGAATGCTGTTACTGTGCAGTGCATGCAGCATTTTTTCCAATCGCACTGCACCAGAACGGAGGGCATTCCTGTACTGTGGGCAAGGGTGTGTCTGAGGTGCCATTGATGTGAATGGCACCACCACATTCACTCCCGTCCCAGAATGCGGCTCGGCTTGATTTTTTGCGATGCAGTGTGACCTGTGTTTTAACCCGCCACCCAAACGTATGGTGATTATTGGCCACTTAATTGACCCATCTGCCACCTCAGTCAGCTTTGCAGTTCCTTTAAAAAAACCTCTGGAGAAAGATGTAACACTGCCCCTGCCATCCTACAATGCAGTGCTTTGTGCCTGAGCAGCCCACCAGCAGACTCGAATGCTTTTATGTAGGGGCACTACCTAGAAGCATGTCAGCCATTAGGTTAGACTTCGTGCTTGCCAAAAATCTTTGCAGCAGCTTCAGAGGGAGCCAGGGGCAGGAGTGGTGAAGGAAGGTAAGGGCCCGTTCACACCAGTTACAGTGCGAGCACTATTTTGATTGCACCCCTCCAGACCGTACCGCAGGCACAATGTGCCCTACGATCCCGTGCGGGCGATCGCATTGCGGCCGGAGGGTGTGGCTACGGCGCCATTCACTTCAATGGCACGCCACGCCCCCTCCTGCCCCACTAATAAGTGAGCCGGCCACAATGCGAGGCAGTGCGTTCCGCCCAGAATCGGGCCGGAACGCACTGCAACTGGTGTGAACGGGCCCTCAGGCTCTGGAGTGTTCTTGTTTTACCCTGGGTGTTATTCGCTTTATTTTTTTAACAGACTTTGTCACTCATTTTGGCTCCCCTGTCAGTCCATTTTTACTCTTAAGCTGATGCAAAATACCCTGTGCTTCTGGGTATGAAGGAGGGTGTAACCTCCTCCTCTGATGCACTTTTGCCAGGCCCAAACACTGTCACAGGGCATCGTCATGAACCCTGTGTAAGTTGACACAGATCTTACACAGGAATAGGATTAGCGGAGGTATGGTGTGGCAGGGGAACATGACAAAGGTAGGTCTTAGTGGTTTGGGGGTTAACCTTTAAAACAGCTTTTCCCTAAATGGGCACATTTAGATTAAAGTGGTTTGCTTCAATCTCTCTTAATTTCATCTACCACAAAATTGTAATGTGTAGGCGTTAGGACAGGTTCACAGCACAAACAGTGCGTTTCAGAGTGGTCCGGCTCTTGCACGCACTGAATTGCATTCTGGCCTGTGGGGGGGGGGGGGGGCGCGGGGGCCTATAGTG